CTTAACCCGTATACCGTGAGATGTATATCTGGGGATTCGTGTCTAAATAACCTGAAACCCTAAACCCTTAGGCTAGGGACCTCGTGTGGCGAGTGCGAGTTGCGAGTGTTTAAGGCCCCTAGGCTTGGGATTTCAGGGCTTGCAAGGCCCAGGTCCTGGCCACAAGCTTACTAAGGTACTATAGGGGTATAGGGTTCCCTTAATGGGGCTCTTTTTAAAGGATACTATAAGGTACTATAAGGGTTCCTTTAAGGGGATCTATAAGGGTTCTGTAAAGGAACATCTATCCACCCCTAGCACGAGTGCCCACAGGATTCGACTAGGGCTTTGTAGCAGCCATGTGTTTTGGGTTCAGGGCTGAGAACAGTTTAGTGCGCGCCGTGCAGGGGCAGCCACTTCTCTCTGCGCTTCTCGGGTTCTTGACAATTTCGCATTCTCCAGGTGAAAATCTGTCATCGGCAGTGCCCGAATCCCTCCAGAAAATGCATGAAGAACAGAAACCCGGAAAGAAAACTGTAAAGCCTCAAATCCTAAACCCTAAAGCCAGACACCCTATGTGAAGTAACACCCAGGAAAACACTAACACCCCTAAACCCCTGAACCGCAGAACGCTAAACCCTAAACCCTACAACAACCAAACAACCCTAAACCCCTGAACCCTCAGAACGCTGAGACGTCTCGAACCAAGGAGATCCGTAGCTACCGGAACAGCCAAGATGTGGGGCCAGCCTCTTCCGGTTTGGGCCTTGGTTTCTTAGTGTTTTTGAAAGGTGGTTCGGGGGGTGTCTCTTTTAAGGATTTAGGGTGTAGCGTTTAGGGTTCTAGACCCTGCCGAAGCCAGGGGTTTAGGGTTTCGTTTCGGAGTTCTCCTCCGGGCTCGGACCCCCGGAATCTGGGGGTGGGTTGTGTGATTACGAGGTTTAGGGGTCCGGGTTTGGAGATATGACTTTTATGGACTGTACTTTTTGTTTTGGTTGGTTTTAATATCATTGTCATGAGTTTAAGGGCGGCCGCTTGTCTATTAGTTAAAGTTGAAAGCTGATTTGTTGAACTTCTGGATCTAACTAACAACTCATAGTGCGAAGAGGTTGAATGTTTGCTGTTGGCCTTGCTAAGGTTTGCCAATAGGGAGGCTTCAGCGTGTTGCTGTGTTTTCGTGTGTTTGTGTGTGTCGAGAGTGCGCAGCTTTGTTGTTGTTGTTTTCTGTATGTGAGGTTCATTCATTCACCGGAAACACTTTACCGCTCAAGCTTTGTAGCTTCAGAAGGGATGCACCCGAGCTGGGAGTTCCAACACGGCTTGCACAGGGTTTCCAAATCGCTCGGCTTGGGCACATGGTTTCAGTCTGTCGTGTTTTTGAAGCTTTAACTCTACACCTTCAAGCATGCACTTCTAAAGCTTGGCTTCGCAGAGCTTCAGGTCCGAAGAGCCTTCCTTTTAGGGTTTGGGGGTTTACGGGGTTCATGGATTTAGGGTGCCTGGTAGAGAGAGAGAGAGAGAGAGAGAGAGAGAGAGAGAGAGAGAGAGACAGAGAGAGAGAGAGAGAGAAGGAGAGAGAGGACGAGAGAGGAGAGAGAGAGAGACAGAGAGACAGAGAGAGAGAGATAGAGGACAGAGAGAGACAGAGAGAGACAGAAGAGACGACAGAGAGACAGAGAGAGAGAGATGAGAGACAGAAGAGAGAGAGAGACGATAGACAGAGAGAGAGAGAGAGAGACGAGAAGACGAGAGAGAGAGACAGAGAGAAAGACAGAGAGAGAGACAGAGAGAGAGACAGAGACAGAGAGGAGACAGAGAGAGAGAGAGAGAGAGAGAAGAGAGAGAGACCAGAGAGAGAGACAGAGAGAGAGACAGAGATAGAGGAGAGAGACAGAGAGAGAAGACAGAGAGAGAGTACAGAATATAGAGAGAGAGAGAGATACAGAGAGAGAAGACAGAGAGAGAGAACAGAGAGGAGAGGGAGAGGCCAGAGGAGAGAGACAGAGAGAGAGACAGAGAAGGAGAGGAGAGAAGAGAAGAGAGAGAGAGTGAGAGGGAGAGAGATGGAGAGGGAGAGGGAGAGGGAGAGGGGAGGGAGATAATGGAAGGGAGGGGAGATGGAGAGGGAGAGGGAGAGGGAGAGGGAGAGGGAGAGGGAGAGGGAGAGGGAGGAGTAGGAGAGCGGGAGGGAGAGGAGAGGAGGGAGAGGGGAGAGAGGAGAGGGAGAGGGAGAGGGAGAGGAGAGGGAGGAGGGAGAGGGGAGGGGAGGGAGAGGGAGAGGGAGAGGGAGGGGGGGAAGAGGGGAGAGGGGGAGAGGGAGAGGGGAGGGGGGGAGAGGAGCGGGAGAGGAGAGGAGAGGGAGAGGGAGAGGGAGAGGGGGAGGGAGAGGGAGGGGGAGGGGGAGAGGGAGGGGGAGAGGGAGAGGGAGAGGGAGAGGGAGAGGGAGAGGGAGAGGGAGAGGGAGAGGGGGAGGGTTCAGGGAATGCATCCAGGAGTTTCCCTCATGTGTCTTTAGCTTCCATGGCCAGCGTCTAAGAAGAGGCCGCATACCCACGAATTCGATTTCCTAGGCCCGTAACGCTAGATCCTCAGAAACCCTCCAGATAACCTTCATAAACTGCGTCTGTAGTTCAAAAACCCCAAGCCGTGGAGACCTCCAACTGCGTGATGCCTGAGAGCACTGTGTTGCATAACTTTCACTGCTGCAGCGCAACAGCACCGCAAACCCTGAACCACAAACCCTAAACCCTAAACCCCTGAACCACAAACCCTAAACACCCTACACACAGGTGGGAATCAACCATCCGAGGACCTCCAGAAGCCAAGCCGCAAGGATGTGTTTGATAAGCTCTTTCAGAGGGTTTGCCCATGGGCTCCATAGTAGTTTCTCTTTGGGGTTCATATATTTAGAATCCTACAAGGTAATCCCAAAAAGGAACTACCATGGAGCCTCTGAGTAGGGTTGTAGCTCAGCGACAGACGCAAGAGCCTATTACTAAGGGCCACATGACCTCCGTTGAGGTTACTTGGGGGTCCATGGGGCTATTGGCTTAGATCACGAGCTTACTTGCCTTGATTTGCGGTTGCGCTCGGGTTCGGATTAAGAACTTTAATCCCAGCTAAATCACCTTATTGACGGACTTGTATAACAAGGAGCTCTGAAGAGGTATGCTTTGCAGGTTCAGACGAGCATCTCTTGGTTCAGGTTTACCTGAGCCCGGAAACAGGCATGAAGTTCTTTATTATTGCAAGATTTCCTTCTATATGTCCTCGGAAATCTTTTAGGGCTTAGGGTTTAGATGATTTCCTTCTACATGTCCCTAAGAAGGCAGGTTGTCGGTGGGTTAGGGTGGGGCTTGAAGCAGCCTTCAGCTGATGTCCCAAGCTCTACGTCCTGCTGTGACCCTTGCGCTGAGATGCCCTACATTCGACAATAACTAGGACCTGGAGTAGGCCCTTATTCCCTTTTTGCAGGGTTCAGGTTCCCCTATAAGCCCCTTGAAACCAAAAAGGGCGCCCTTTTTATTCCCAGGCTACTCTTGGGTCTAGATAACCTTGAGCCCCAAAAGCAAATCGAAGCGCGAAGCCTTTCTGTTCCCCAACACCGAGAAGCGAATCCAAGACTTTGACCCTCAATTATCTGTATAGGCTGCTTTTGGGTTCCGGGCTTAGGGTGCCGGAGTAGAGTCGAACAGTCAGCTAATGTACCCAGAGGCCCCATAATAGTTCCAATGCGGGGTTCATACGTAGAATCCTATAAGGTATTCCCAAAAGGGAATTACTATGGGGCCCCTGGGTAGTTCTGACTTTCGGCACCCAGGGCATGGGTCAGGTTATACAAGTTCGGGCTCTGCGGAATTAGGGTTTAGGGTTTAGGGTTCTTTACAAATCCCGGATCGAGGATTTGGAGTTTGGTTAGAGGTGTGCAGTTGGACCTGACAGTCCAGACTGTCCCTCAAGCTAGGTTCAAGGATTACGTGCTCATAGGGGCTTAGAACTAAAAGGAGTTTAGGGCTTCAAGGTTTATTGGCTTATCTTCATCCCGAAGGCAGAATTTCAAAACCTGTTCTGAACTCGTCTCTTGCAAGCTGTCAGCCCCAAGCCGCAGACTGCGCAGCCCAAAGCCCTGAAGAGTGCAGCTCCAAGCCCATACCCCCGCCCTCCCCAACCCATACATCCTACACCCCCAAGGCCTTGAAGCGTAAACCTGCATCGACCAACCTCGGACCCTGAGCCCTAAAGCTTAAAGCCCTGAAATTCAAATCAATCCCAAACCCCTAGACCCTAAACCTAAACCCAGGAATTCAATCAAAGATGACATGGCCGACGCTCGGGCGAAGGGATGCATCACCAAAGAGGCCTCAGCCATTTGTGTGTGTTGCCCTGTCACGCAAGCACTGCTTCGAAGCAGGAGCCTTGTACACTCTTCTACTATTTGCTTAAGAACCCCAAAAAAGTAAAACATATTTTCCTTATGGGGGTAATATAGGGATCATTATTTTTTTTATTTTTTGGGGTTTCTTAAGCAAATAGTAGTCTTGTAGAGACGAAAAGGTTTTTTCTTCGGCGCAAACTGTGTCTAAAACCCCTAAACCGCTAAACCCTAAAGCCTAAACTACAGCTCGTCCACAACCCTTCAGGCTCCCCAAGCAGTATGCTAATCAGTCTGAATGAGCAAGAACAGCAAGACTTCCTGCAACAATTAGCTCGAGGACGGCCGACACCAACGGAAGTATTTGTAGCAAGCATCATGGGATCACTCTGTAGATGACGGCTATATGCTGACCACCAGCACTATCACAATCGTCAGCTGCACCATCACTATGATCACTATGACCTGTGTCAGCGCATGACCTAATATCCAACAGGCGAGACGACGATGACAGGTTGCTGAAATCGCAGCTCCATAGATTTACAGAAACCCGAGACCCAAATGCCCCAAGCCCCAGCCATTTGGCTCAAGTGTACATTTGGGCTCCAGGCTGTGTAAGCACCCATTTTGCCAGTACCTTTGTACAGAGATGACGGGAAATCTGGCTTTGGGCTACAGCTGCTGCCTCATTGCAGGGGTTGGTTTTGGCATCAACTACCTGCCTGTCAAAGGCATCGACACTGGAGATGGCATATTCTTCTCCGCAGTGATGTCCGTGGGCATCCTAGCAGTAGGCGTGGTCGCCCGAAACCTTACCTGAACCCTGAACCGTATAAACACTACTAAAAGCCTATAAGCCCAACAAGCCCTGGACCCTATGAGCCCTAGAAGCCCTGAACCACTTGCAGGCTTGGTCACCGGGACGGTGCTTAGCAGCCCACCTGGGCTTCTAATGCCAAAGTTCGAGCCCTGGGCGGCCTTTGGGGGGGCCATTTGGATGTGCGGAAATTTGACACTCAGACTCAGAGCTTGTGGATTTTTAAGAGTCTAGGACCCAGAGTAGGCCCTTATTCCCTTTTTTAGGGTTCAGGTTCCCTTATAACCACCTTTAAAGCAAAAAGGGCACCCTTTTTATTCCTAGGTTACTCTTAGGTCTAGGAGTGCTTTCCTTGGTTAAGGGGTTTAGGCTTTGATACCTGCCTTTAAGGGAGTCGTGGAGTCAAAGAGGATTGCTTGGGGGGGGGTTCGGTTTAGGGTTTAGGGTTTAGGGTTTAGGGTTCAGGGTCTGAGTTTCTAAATTGTTTACTTCCCCTCCACAAAGCTGCGAACTTCTCTCTAACAGAGAAGCTAAGGATGTGCCCCTATATCATCAAGCTGATCGGCATGGGGCTCGGACTCACCGTCTGGGACTTGAGCAACATGATCATGGGTTGGTTCACGGGGCACTATGGGCTCTTTGGCGTCCAGAGGGAGCATATTGAGAGACCATGGGTGAATTCCGTGGGCCTGGGAATGGCCGTCCTGTCCCTTTTCTTCTTCTCCATGGCTGCGAGTTTCGATGCAAAAGAAGGCGGCGCAAAGATGGACACGACGGACGAGACTCGCGAAGATAAGCCGAACTCGGAGGAGGACACGGCCAGCACGGCATTCCCTGCATCTGTGGGAAGTGAGTCGGATCTGGAGATCCAGATCGAAACGCCAGCCCCGCAGATCGTTGGCAAAACCATAGAGACGAAGAAGACTCCCGGGTCGCCGCAGGACCAGATGACCCCGTGTCAGAATTCAGATGCCCGCAACTTTGCCATAGGTCTTTGCATGGCTCTGGTTGCAGGAGTGTTCCTGGGCTTTGGAGTACCATACTTTACATATTTTCGGGGGACCTGTTACTTAAAGGGAACCGTTATGAAATCAAAGCTCCCTGGTCACTTAACCCTATAAACCCTAAACCCAAGGTTCTTCGGAACCACCTTCGACCTTCCAACAGCTCTGATGGAGGGACGCTTCGGAGACGATCATAGTGAAGCTGGGTTCTTGTTAAGGAACTTAATTTCAGTTAAAAATATTAGGGTCTCTTGTGGAAGCTTGGTTAAGGAACTTAATTTCAGTTAACTAATCATAATAATAGGGATCTCTTTTGGAAGTAATATGGTTTCCTTATGATGGTAACTTTAGACAGAGTTTCTTGTATAACAAGAACCCAGAAAGCAATCATGGATTACGTGTTCAGCCATTTCTGTGGCATCTTTGCAGCTGCTTCTGCTGCCTTGGTCGTCTACTCGGCTGTGATGAGGGAGAGGCGCTACATGCCCCGCCGCATGATCCTTCCGGCGATCGCTTCGGGCATCCTTTGGGGCATTGCTCAGGTAGCTTGGTTCCAGGCTACTTAGGGGCACTTAGAAATTATTTTTAATTTTTGGTTATTACAATTCCTAAGAAACAGCTAAAATTCTAATTTTTGCTAGGGTTCTAAGTTCAGTATAGGCTAATATCGACCTGGGATTCTCTGTCGCCTTCCCCATCATTGGTAGCCTCCCTGGCATTGTCGGGCTGATCGTTGGCATGGCCTTCTTCGGAGAGGCGGGTCGTTGTGAAAATTAGGGTCCCTTTTGGGGTACCTTGAATATTAGGTGCCGTATTATACTTATGACCCATAAAAGGACCATTATTTTCATAATCACCCAGGTGAAAAGCAGGAGGAGCCGATTTTGGGCCGGCGTGGGTTTGGCACTGCGCTTGCCAGGTGTCGTCCTCATTGCCATTTCCACTTGAGCTTCATCAGCGATCTCCATGACGCTGTAGGTCCTTAGGTGTTTTCCCACTTGGGGCGGAGTCCCAGTTGGAAGTTTGACTTTTGGGATGCATGTCGTGTTTTCCACCTGTCGAATGCCGCAGATTCGCGGCAAGATATTGCAATTAGGTTTTCGATTCGTGCGACCGGTTTGGTTGCTAGGATCCGCCCTGCGATCAAGATGGCCTGTTGTGCAGTTGTGGTTCTAGTGTCTAGGTGCAGATGTCTCAGACTGTCCACGCAACGCAATGGCACTCCGGCCTGGGATGGGGCGACCTGGCAAAGTTGCCAGACTGTCACTCCGTTCGTCAATCCTCGTTCGTCAGTCTTTGAATGCGTAGCATGCTTGTACAGTGATTGCTGATGCGCAGCTGTTGCATCGCCATCAACTCCTGTCAATGGGACTGTCTTGCAGGTAGTTTTGCAAGTTCGCCTGAGGCAGATTGCCCACTGGATGTACAGGGGCGGGCGTACAGTATGAGACGAGCCGTCCTGCCCATTCGCACACAGGGATTGACTGGCCTTTGCCCTGACCTCAGCGCGCGAGTACATGCATTCGCGGACCGAAGAAGAGCTGTTTTGAAGCTTTGCCGTCCTTGAGTGAACGTGTCGGAACCCCTGGAGCTCGAAGCCCTAAACTCATTCGACCAGGATGCTGAGACGATTTTGATGCAGCTTGGCAGTCTGTTAGCCCGTGATTGCTTTGGGTTTGAGGTTTAGGCCGACTCCGCGAAGTGCGAAGCTTGTTGCAAAAAGGATGACGTAATGTCTGTGGAATCTCACCAAGTGGGCAGCCAATCTAAACATCGTCGCCCCTCCTTGTTTTCCTGAAGTTTGAAGGAATGGCGAGGCATGCTGCAGCAGAGATGCCTATTGTGCCACACTCCGAACACAGTGGTTACTCATGCCACTCTTACAGTTGTTGTCGGCAGCATGTTTCTTGCTATTGGGAGTGTCGCCTTGACTGAAGTATCTATCATTGGCACTGCCGCTGTGTCCTTGTAGCACAAAATCACGAATCTCTTTCCCCTACTAACATCAAGACGGTGGCCCCCCAACAGAACTTGGAAAAGTGTGTTTTACCATCAGGGTTTATCTTAGGGGTACTTAGAAATAATTTTTCATTTTTGGTTATTATCATCCCTAAGAAACAGCTAAAGGTTTGTAATTTTTGCTAGGGTTCTAAGTTAAGTATAGTTATTTTCGCTCTCCTGGAGGAATCTTGCTCTTACCCTCCGGCGCTCGGCTCTTCTCTTACCTTTGGTTAGTAGGGAATGGAAGTATGGTAGTAATAGTAGTTATAATGGTAGTAATTTGATAGTTATATGATAGCTATATGGTAGTAGAATGGTAGTAATAGTAGTTATAATTCTACCCCATTCCTCCATTCCCTACTAACCAAAGGTAAGTTCTTGCTGTTCCGGCTCTTTCTGCTGCTTCTGCTCCTGCTCCTGCTGCGGCTCATGCTCTGGCTCCAGATCTTGCGCCTGAAACTCCCTAATACCAGGGCGTGACGTTCTGAATTGGAAATAGGGGTTTCCGAAATTAGGGGACCCTAACATAGCACCCTGAATAGTAGGATCCTTATTATCAGGACCCCAAAATAAGGTATTCCAATGACTTTCGTCGCTGAGTGAGTACACTTTACACTTTTTTGGGATAGCATCCCCAATAGAGCTGACAGTTTACACTTCTCGGGTTTATGAACTCCGTAGCTAAGTGACTGCTGTGGATTGCTTCAGAGTTTCTCTTCCGGTGGTCACAGGATGGTAATATAGAGGCCTTAATAATTACGTAAAGTATTCTGGTGGTTCCTTGTTGTAACTAAAGTATTAGTATACCCCAAAACATCTTCTAGTTATTAAGGATCATTACGGCCCCTACGGTAGTCCGCCGGCTTGCTATCAATGGCATCAGGACTTTCGGGCTTAACCGTAACCCCAAGATCAGCCAGAACCCGAGCCCTCACCCCGATTGGATCAGGAATACGTGTGTATATACAGGTGTGCGTAAGTATGTGTATAGGTGTGTTCGTGTATATATATATATATATATATAATTTAACATGTTGTTGTGCTAGAGTACATTCGAATGTGCCATGTTGTACTTTATTTTGTTGTGTGTATTGGTCAGGCTTAAGCGGTCTAGGGTCTGGGGCGATCAGTCGCTAGTCGCCATACCCACCAGCTCCAAGCTAATTGGGCCCGTAATGAAGCAGAAGCCAGAGGGAGGGACAGAGAGGCAGAGAGAGACAGAGGTAGGAAGATGGGTGGACCGAGTATGCAGCAGCCCAGCTTCATTTCTGTGTGAAGCCCCCTTCTCAGGAAATCTGTGTGGGATGCTTGGGCCAGAACCCTAAAGAATTACGTTTGTTATCCCACAGGGTTCCACTTCACTATACTGTAACATACCGCAAAACCTTCTGCCTCATTCTAGTTTACGTAGTTTATCAAGGCCCCTATTAGTTTCGGAAGCTTCGGCTTAAGTTTTCCCGTGCTTAGGAAGATGATGCTGCTCCGGCGAATGGGCGCCGAGGAGCTTTGATTGCTCAAGTCCCTCACTTAGGGTCTGGTTTGTGTGGGTACAGATATACACATTATAAGTACATCAATGATGAAATAAACAAATAACCATATATGCATGTGGGCATATATACTTGTACACATATATATATATATATGCATGTTAACCCCCCATGAACTACCGACCCTGGTTATGTAACGTAAATACGGTGTCAAACTAGCTTTTCCGGCAGGTCCGGATTCTGTATCTCTCAAAAGACTGCCAAATCCAAACCCACACGTCCAATTGACGTGCCAGGCAACTCGTTCAGGTCGACGTCAGCCCCTCACTCCGTGGCAACACGGCTCCTCTAATCCAAAGCCCTAAGGAAACCCCAAAAACACAATTTTTCGCGTGGAAAAGGTTGGTTTTGGGCTGAAATACAAAAAACGTTTCCAAAGGAATAGATGGTTTTGGATAGAAAACATTTTTCTGTTAGGAAAAAGCTTGGTTTTGATAATGATAGGAAAACCATTTTTCCAGGAAAACCAAAAATATGTTGTTGTGTCTTCCTTTCCCTTGGTTACATTGTTTTGGTGTGGAAAACCACTTCTTACCCTAGGAGAAAGTCGGTCTCCTGGCCCCCAAAAATGAATGTTTTTCCTAGGAAAATGTGCAGTTAGCTTTCCGCGCCAAAACCAATTTTTCATAGGAGGGGTTGTTTTTCCGGCCCAAAACAGTTTTTTTATCTAGGTAAAAGTTTGGTTTTTCACACCAAAAGCCGTCTTGTAGTAGGGAAAGTTTGTTTTGCAGCCAAAGCCAATTTTTCCTAATGGAAACCAAGAAACTATGTTTTCGGATTTTGGCCGCATGGTTTTTTGTTATTGCTTGTGTTCTTGGTTTTTCTTAGGAGAAGTTTTGTTTTCCTGTTAAAACCATTCTTGATCCCAGCAAAACGGTTGGTTCTCCTCTGAGTGTAGCAGACTCAAGCAGGGATACTAGCACTACAAAGAGGCCCCATAGTAGTTCCGTTTTGGGGTTTATGTATAGAACCCTATAAGGTAATCCCAAAAGGAGCTACTATGGTGCCTCTGGCTAAGGCAGCAGGCGATCTGGGTCCCTTTGGTGCAGTCTCTGCCTGACTCGGCCGGATCATGACTACAAAAAGAACTACACCCTAAACCAGCGGAAGGCTTCGAGCAGAAATATGCAAAACCACAGCTGCACCCTAAATCCCGTGCAAGATCCCAAGACTACTGTAAGAACTGCGCCCCCAATTTTAATTTAGATCCTCCTACCACCCAAAACCACGGGGTTCAATGCTCCTCGCCTGGATTGTCCGAATGTGAGCACCGAAACCCCTATGCAACCCTTATGGGTTCCTTTGAGGCATCTTTAAGGGCTCCTTTAAAGCAGACCTTTTGGATAGCCATAGAGGCACCCTCCAAGCTTTGAAGTGAAGCGAAGGAGGCGACTGAGCCGGCCTTTTCGGTTGGATGTGCCGCCGTTTCTCGGTAATAGAGAGAGGGCTTAAAGGTCGGGGTTTCCGGGGGTTTTCGGTTTAGGGTTTGGGGGTTCGGGTTCTTGGTTTAGGTTTGGGAGTTAATTTCAGGTTTCGACTCAGGAGTTCAGGGTTTGGAGTTGGGGAAGTCTGAACCATTGGTCAGAAAATGGCCTGATAAGTATAAAGCGTGTTGCCAATCAATCTGGCTCCTGGGATAGGGGTTGTGGTTTTAAACAAAGGGTTACACCCCCCCGGATGAATTTCCGAGATTCTCGAAGAACCGGGCCAGAGCTAAGCCTGCCCAGCCCGGAGCCGTGCCACGTAAGGCTTCCTCCGAGGGTTCCTTTGAGGGGTAGTATTATGCAATCAAGGGTATGGTCTTAAAGGTTACTGTTCTTGCGTGACTGCCCGTACATTCAAACGGAATAGCGCAACGCAAACCCTGAAGTTCCGCACCGCATGTTCAACCTCTTGTCGCTTGTTTTTTTTGTCTTTGCGTGGCACCACCATGCAGATGTACTTGTCGACGTTGTTCTGGTATGTGATGGGTCATCTAGCCCAAAGAGCAAAAGGTCAGCGAACACGCTGAAGTGTAACACCGGCTGTTGAGCGCAAGGCCGCTCGGAAACTTAAACCCAAGCTCGACACGCAGATCGCATCAGGTTTGCGTTTTGGTGACGCCGTCCAGGGCTCAGCCAAGGGCAGAACAGTAGTTCCATGCTTGTCATTACCGGAGATAGGGAGAAGCCTAAAGCCCTAAAACCCTAAATCGGTGTCTCTACTTCGATGATATGGGAACCTTTTTGGGGGGTCCTTATAATAAGGATCCTATTATTTACGGGACTATTCGGGTCCCCTATTTTGGAAACCCTGGAATGTGGGTCTCTAGTTCGATGATATAGGGAGTGCGTCGAAACTTTGAACTCGTAAAAGCCTACCTGGAACCACAAGGGCCCCAAGGTATGTAGAATAATA